TGAGATTCAACTGCCCCTATGGTCTGCAGGGCCAGGGAAGCTATTATTTCAAATCCCTTGAGGCTCAAAATCAGAGGATTTTAGGTGGAATTATGAAGCTCTTCTTCCTGTCATAAGATGCACGATACTTCCCCACGGTTCTGCATAAAACTCATGCCCCCATCTATTCTGGGTATTGTGGTGCGGCAACTCCAGATATGCTGAAGTAGACACAGTACCCTGCTTAGCCCTCTCACACCACCAAGTAGAGTCAGAAGGGTTGGGTTTATTTTTCCCAGGTAGTTAATTTGTCCGCTGGGAACTGGATGCTTCCTCTTTGCTCCTAATAGCTTTCCCACAGTCACTACCTCCGAACACTGTTAGCTTAGCTCACAGACAATCTTACTCTTCTAATGCCTGAAGTCTGAGCACTTATTAACTCATGCGGTTAGTTTTTGTTTAGTTCCCACATGCCACAAGAGCCTTTCCATTATGTGTGTTTTAGATTCTCTTTCTTAAAGAGAGCATCGGGATACGAACTTTTGTAAGTGTTTCTTTGCCTTATCACCACACACATTTAATTTACATGTGAGCTGTAAAGGCAATCTCTTTGCTTGATCATTTATGCCTTTATTGTGCTCATGCAGATAAGAGATTGAAGCATGACTAGTGATTGTCACTGCTATTCCACTTGCTGCATCAGTGTAGGATAATACTGCTGCATTTGAGTTTGATCACGCTACAGTAAGACACACACTGATTTCATTGACACTTGGTCTGAAAATCTCTGACCACATTGGATCTGGAAGCACGCTTGCTGCTTCCTTTGCGCAACAGAACACAGGACGACTTTCGTTAACACCAAAAGGATTTTAAATGAACAGTTTCATGGTGCTCCTTTCAAATCATAAAATGTGAACTTTACATAGAAATGTGTTTACAAATCATTTCCATTTACACTCGATTCTGCTCATTACTGGCTGGAAATTATATACAGAGATTGGCATTGCAGCTTCACTCATTTGTAAGGAGATTGGAGAATTTATTCAGGAAATAAAAATAGGATTTCCCAGTTCCTAGACATTGTCTTCTGCCTGACATGGCTACTCACAGATGCAGTAGGAGCATGCTAAGCTTTCAGAGAAAACGGGTACTGCGGGTGCCACCAATCCAAGAGACGTACACTGTGCACAGGGTCCAGGATAACTTGTACTCCTTGGTCAAGTTGGGGCTTCTTGCCGTTCCAGACAGGAGAATCCTGGAACACCAACCTCACTCTGTGATGTCTCATGTCAGTGCTCACGTTTATTGTGAACTGCAGGGAAGAAAACTGGCAATTTCCTTAATAGACATCTAGGCATTTTCTGGAAGCAGTACCTAATTTCTCTTCAAATACTATCTACTACTGTGAATGCTGATCCCTAATTCTTATTGGACAAACATTTTCTTTGTGGTGTTTTACATTTAAACTTTATATTTTCAAATACTTTTTTTTTTTTTAAATTGAGGGCCTCCAAAAAGTCTGCTTTTCACAAAAAAGATACCAGAAAGACATCATCAAAATTTGAAAGATCAACCAACTCTCTTCTAAAGTTGAAATAAATGTTATTTGGTCTTTGATCTTACGGAAGTGCAAAGGTGAGAGAACTTGGACACTATTTTCCAATTCTACCTTTAATAGCCATAAGTTATCTAGGGTATTTTAGGTGCTGCTGACTAAGACTCCTAGGCACGATGAGAATACAAATCCTCATCCTTCCTTCCCCCAGGAATGGAGCACATTTCGTTGAAGACAGCTGACAAACAGTCCCTTCTAGTTGGGCCTCGAGGGCTGGTGCCATGAATCTACATCAACCATCAGAGAGTTTAGTGACTTGCAGAAACTAAACCGAAGAGATCCTTGAGTGATGGCCCCAATCCACTAGGGAAATGCATATTAATTAGTCTGCTGGTGCAGCAAGATTTACAGACAAGCGGTAATGACCAGACCATTTTCTTAGCACATTTTTATGGTGCTTACGTGCAGATTTCTTAACACTTACCAAGGTAAATATCAGACCCATGACTACCGGCAGGAAGATGAAGTTGAGCGTGGTGATTTGCAGCAGACAGCAGTCCTGATCAGGATTTGTGTGAACATCCTCATACTGAACAGGTGGCTGAAGATCTTTGCAACAGTTACTCTTCAATCTGGGAGGCTTGACAGAACGAGACAGACCGGTTCATTCAACTAAACTGAAGCCAACCAGAAATTTCACTTCATGTCTAGAGACCATCCTGGCTCAGCAGCAGATTCCTGCCTAATGCCCAATTGTTCGGGCAAAAGGGTTCCATGTTCAATGAAAACCCTGGGATGGAGGGCTTGCAAGACTGTCTCTTTGAAGACAGACTCTGCAGGTCCTGATAGGGTGCTCGGTATTATACATTTATCCTGAGTCTGGTTAAAGGAGGGTTTCACAAAGATTACTGTCACCCCCTGATAAAAGGGTTGGTTAGCTTTGGAAAGGCTTTCCGTGTGAAGAGAGAAAAGACATTAATTCAACACATTTCAAACTTGGGTCCCTAACCGTAGGCCACTAAATCAAAGTGACTGGCTTTTCAGAGGAGCCGAGTCATCGCAACTCTCCACTGAAGGTATTTGGAGCTATAGATACTCAGCACGTTGGGTTAGGGGCAGGCAATCAGCAGCCTAAATATGGACATAGGGATCTAATCCTCTAGACACTCAAGACTGAAAACATTGGCCTGTTTTAAAGCAGTAAGAATTGCCTCCTGCTCTAGTTTTCCTACTCAGCAGCTCCACAAGTGCCTTACCTGCCCACCTCTGCATTTGGCAATATGTATTTCTTTTACCAGGAGATCGGATTTTAATTGATCTACTGCACCCATCATAACAACTCTGGAAGAAAAATCATTATGGCTTCAAAACCTTACCGCCCTGACATTTCAATGGCAAGTGGTTAGCTTTCATACCTGTTTTTTGAATTTGAAGTTAAATTCCCACATAGGTTCTCGTCTGTTCCCGTCAATCTTTCTGCACCAGAAAAGCAAACACTGATATGGGAGGGGGGGGGAAATACAGTAGTAGAGTTAATTATTTCATTTTTAGTGAATTTCAACACAGGCAAAGAGCTCAAACTACAAACCACAGGAGCAGCTGAAGAGATGGCAGCAGTCTGGTCCCATTAGTTACATTAATGCATATCTGAGAGACAAGGTGGGTGAAGTAATCTCTTTTACTGGACCACCCACCTTCTCTCCAATATCCAGGGACCGACACAGCTACAACTACACTGCAAACATTAATGCATACCTGGCATTTTCCATTTGCCAGTCAGCAGGTGGCAACCTCGCTATACCAGAGGGTGACACAGGACTTGGGCTCTAGCAGTGCTTCCTCTGTTCCGCTCACCCATTCCACATAGAAGAGGAAAGCAGAATGGACTTTGCTCCTCTACATTCTACATGGAATAGCCAAATTAAACTGATAAAATCTCAGGTCAATGTATGCATTCAGCTCACACTCAGAACAGAGCAGGAGTGAGGGAGAGCAAACAGCAGATCAGGGAAGGAGAATCAAAGAGAGGCAAATGTTAAAAGCAACTGGACAGAGCAGAAAAAGCGCGGAGGGGGGGGGGGGGGAGAGGGGAGGGGAGGCGCACCCAGAGGTCACACTCCCCTCCATTAGGCAACGTCCTAGTATTTCAAAATCACAAAGCAAAGCTTTGTCTGTACAGTTCAACTAGTGGCTCAGAACATTGCTTCTTTTCTAAAGGTGGATGAATACATGGGGTCCGATGCCTCAATGCCAGAGGCAACCAAAGCCTGGATCTGCTGGCAAAGGTCTCTCAGGTATTCTATAGTGTAATCTCTGACTGCCACACCTTTATACAGCCTTACAGCTGTGAGATTCTATGTCCTGGCATGCAATGCTCCATGAAATAGGAGAGTCTTAGCAGAACTACTGTATTCAAGTGAGGGGGGAGGTTAAATAGAGCCCAATATCATATCGATAAGCTGACAGTGACTGGAAGTTGCAGTCATCTGACAGCCATTCAGTAGCCAATAAGGAGAGAGCCTGGCAAATCTCAGTCCAGTTGACAGAGAGTAAGTGTCCACATCACAAGAGATACCTTCCATAACAACTGACCTGAAGTAGGCCTGCTAACAGCCTCAGCAGGAAGGGAAAGAATGGCATGCGTCATAGAGAAAACTCCCTTCTCACCCAGAGATGGTCTCTCTGGGTCAGAGTTAAGGCCTCTTCTGGGTCAATGTGGGGAAACTTATCTGCCAATGCTGTACCTGCTAGCTGCAGTCACTAACACTGTCAAATCTGAGAGGCCGCACCAGCACTAATTGCTTTCATGGATGGAAAAAAAAAAAGAGAACAAGGGCTGATGCAAACTGCACCTTTTTAATGCAATTTAATTCTAGTTGGGGTGAGGGACTCATGTAACCCCTCTTAGCACCAAGCCTGGGTCACTCCTACTGTGTGGCTTTGCAGTGATACAAGGCCTTTCACTTCACTTCTAAATCATAGTCACAGGCAGGAGTGCTGGAAGGATCTCTGCAGTGGTGAATCCCCTAGAGGTGAAGCACAAAGCTGAAGAGCAGTTAAGCTCAGGAGCATGGGCTAAACGATCTCCCCCACCAGGCAGCAGCGGCAGCAAACAGTTCTAACCGATTACAATACTGACTGCTCCCTGGATTGTGCTTAGCGGGGGGCATGCAGCAGATACTGCTGGGCTTAATTCCATTTGCAGTTGAGTTTGCCACTCACCTTCTGAGTACATCTACACTGCAGCTGGAGATGTAATTCCCAGGGTGGGCGGACCTACATGCACTCGCTGGAATTAAGTTAACATGCTGAAAATAATAGCGTGGCCATGGGGGGAGCTTAGGCTAGCTGTCCAAGTACCTTCCTACCACTTCTGACTGGGTTACACTCGGGCGGTTAGCCCCTCCTGCCACACGATGACACGACCACTCTATTTTAGCATGCCAGTTTGATCAGAGCCAGTGTGTGTACGTCTAGAGACCCAGAGCCAGCACGTGCCCTTACAGACACAGCTTCATCTAACAGCTCATGTGATCATGGCAAGTAGTTAAGTACCTCCTAAGGGGCAGAGGATGTCATCCGCGTGTCAGCCGTCCTGCCCTTCAGACGTGCACCGTATGGCCTGCTGCTCCACCAAAAATAATGGGGGTGTCTTTAAAGGGCAAACACTTCTGCTGACACCACAACGGCTCCAGTGTCCCACACAAGCTACGCTAGGGAAAGAAGAAAGGAAATTAAAGAGGAAAAGCTGGATTCAGTAATATAGGGGTCTGAGTCTCCCTTCGCTGCATGCACAGTTTACACGAGCATCTCCCATCAGTGTTAACAGACCCCTAGGGGTCTAACCAAAACCCATGAAAGCAAGGAATCGCAGAGGAAATGTAAGGTCCCATTCAATGTACACCACTGTGCCTAGGCATTGCAGCACATGGAACAAAGAGGACACAGTCTGGAGTCCAGACGTACAAGGGCATTTGTATGCTTCGATGGATTGAAGTCAGACCTCTACTGTTATTCTAACAAAGGCTTATAGTCATTTAATTTCCTTTTTTAAGTGAATGGTAATAAAAAAGTATTACACGCAAGGAATCTTTACAGAACTATTAGTTTGGTAGAAGCACCAGGAGTGGGCACCAAAGCCGTTATGATGTGAACGTGAATGAATCCCAGACACTGACCCTTCCACTGCGGGAGGAGGGGGGTCTATTAATCAGACCAATAGATGGATGGGGTTCAGGCTGCTCTGACGGGTGGTTAGATTCAGAGGGACTGAGACTATAACAGGAGGTTAGTGGAACTGCAGGTTTTTCCCCTTCTTTTTAAGGAAGGCATTGCCTGAATGTGATATTCCCTATTAGGTCAGGGAGCAAACAGGTGCAGAGGACTTGTGCACAAAAGGCTGTAAATGCATCTTAATCCTGATCTGCAGCACAACCTACCTGTTGCTGCTCGCTGTTCTCAGTCTTATCTCAGGGCAACTTGCCACTTTAGCAGTGTCTTCACGTGGGGAAGGACAGAAGCAGCAGAGATGTCGCACAGCAAAGAAATGGATTTGTTGTAGTTTGCATAGAGCAGTGATACTCAGATCTCAGGGGTTCAGGAGCCAAATCACCCATCAACATTACCCCAAAAAGCCACAGTCGTGGGAATTCATTGTTTTATTTACTCTCACAGCAAAATGACTGTGGGTATTCGACAGTTGGTTAATAACACAGTAAAAGCATTCTGATTGGTTAATAATTAAATGATACAGTTTTTTAACATCATGTGCTGCAAGAGACACATTAAAGAGCCACCTGTGGCTCAGCTCCCAAGCCTCAGTCTGAGTACCAATGGTATAGTGTCCAACCAAAACCCCTCCCCTTGAGACCGAAAACCAAGCTGGCTTGCCACGTGTCAGCCAATAGTAAATTAAAGCCAGGCTAGAAACAGACAGAACGAGGGGTTAATGATAAACAGTGACTAAAGAGGGCTAGATACACAAATGCTCCAAGCAAGGACTGCAGTTTGGTTTTGCCCAATGACACAGCAGACAATTTCTCCCCAGCTTCACAGCCACACCCCAAAGCAGGCACTTGCTTCACACGCTAGCTCCCCACCTCATGACACTCCCCCCTTCAGAGAAACCAAAGGTGATGGTCTGCAGGAGCGCGGTGTGAAAGGACTCTCCTTTTAGAGGCTGTCAGTGGCATTTGTGATCCTCTGCCACTGACCCAGAAGAAACATTCCAAAATAATATAGTTACAACAGTGCAAGTAGTAGACAAAAATGCCTACCTAGCTCAAATTCCTTTTGGAACCTGGGTTGTGTACAGGGGGGAAGGGGACAATTGTGGATTGTGTCAGTGACAGAGCTTCCATCACTGTAAAATGACATTTTCCTAATTTGTATTACTGGAGTGCTTAGGAGCTACACACCAGGACCCCATTGTGCTAGGGGCTGTACAAACACAGGTAATTGATAAAACTTCAGAAGTCAGACTCTTCCTAGCTTCCTATGTATATCACTGATCCAGTGCATTTATTTCACTAGGGTCCATCTGAATCAGATTTATTTCTCTGAAAGGGGAATAACAAAAAGCAGAGAGAG